TTGTGCACGCAGTGACTGAGTGTACAATATTCAGTTTCCTCTCCCTTGACTCATGTTAACTTTCTCTCCCATTTGTGAGTCACGTTGGATCCTCAAGTTTCTCTTCTTCAAATGCCCATGAAGACAATGAGAATTTTCAAGTGTTTTTGAGCACTCGAGATGTGCCTGGAATTTCCATTCATTCATTCAGTCAGTCACTCAACAAACAGTGGCTGAGTACCCCCTCTGTGCCTTGGAGCTCATGGGTAAACCACAGAAAAAGTCTCCTGCCCTGGTGGGGCTCCCAGCGCAGGGGTGAGGGTGGGGGAGGGGCAGGTGCACACACCCCTGCAGAGCCCACAAACGAGGTGTGCATAAACTCTCTGCCTCAACAACCCCAAGAAATAAGCACCCCCATTTTCCAGGTGAGAAAAACCAAGGCATGAAGAGAGGAAGTGATTTGCCCAAAGTCACACAGCTAGGAAATGGCCAAGGTAGGATTTGAACCCGCACCTGTCATACTCCAGCACCCAAGCCCTGACCCTCCCCCCGGAGGCTGTCTGCTAAGACAAAAGGCCCCGTTCCCCCTACAGGCATCTTCTGCACCAGCAGCATATTCGGGAAGCTCCGCACCGTCCCAGGTTGGGGGCATTATTGTGTGGGGACCCAGCTCATGCCCATGAGTCCTTGGAGGGGAGAAGTTCTGCCCACCCTCCCAGCAGCCTTCAATGGTCAAGGCCAAGTACATGGTTACTCTCTGGCCAGAGCCAGTGGGAACAGGACGTCCTGGTCCTGCTGCCCTGGACTGGCCCAATGAGCTATTTTGGGGCACGTTTATTGATGGGACATGAGTGTCTGCTAGACTCCTGATTGCAAAGGGAGCCCTGAGGCCGGCCGGCCTGGGATGGCTGCCCCAGGCCCTTCGCTGCCCGGGGCAGCCACCATCCATGTCCTGTCCACACCCCAGGCCGAGGGTACAGCCTGAGCTGACTGGCTCCGGGACAGGAAGGGGGCCCCACTGGTGTGGACAGATGCTGGGGGTCACGTGGACTACTGTTTTCCCAAAGTGCTGGAGCCGATTCCATCCCCAGGAGGCAGAATTTGAGGAATACAAAACCGGGTTTTGAGGTCAGACACAGCTGGATTCCCTAGGAGGGATTTTACCTTGGACAAGCCAGGGGGGCTCTCGGGGACCCAGTTTCTTGTCTGTAACATGGAGCTGCCAATGATACTCCTCACTCCCCAGGCAGGAGTGAGGCTTAAACAAGACAGCGCATTAAAGTCTGCCATATAGTAGGTGCTCAATAATTCATACCTTTGTCAATAATCATTGACAGCTGACATTTTTTAGGAGTATAGCATGTGGTAGGCACTGGGCTAAGTTACTGATCTGTTTTCTCTCCTGTCCCAACAGTCCCAGGAGGCAGTGCGTGACGCCATTACAGGCGCCATTATTGTCCCTTTGTACAGAGAAGGAAATTGGTGCTCAGAGGGATACCTGACTTTCCCAAGCTCGTACTGCAAGTACATGGCTGAAAAACACACCTAGGAACTCAGGCCACAAGAGGGAACAGAGCCAGCCCAAGTCCAAGGGCCAGAGCCCATATCCCCCAAAACTAGTCTCAGAGAACGGCCACTCAGGTCCCACCCAAGCGCCCGTCATGCTGTTCAACTTGGTCATCCCTGAGTGCTGGGAAGTGACTTGCTGGTCCTTCCACATGATAAGAAGCAAAGGTCCAGAACCCGAGGTCCCAGAACCTTCCCTTGACCATCCTCCCTTCCTTGGGGTTATTTTGTTTTTCTTGGTTCATGGGCAAAAAACTCCAAGAAAGTGGCTGGGTTGGCAAAGGCTCCAGGCTGACTCAGAGGGGCATTTTGCCGTGTACGCTGGGCGCAGGGTGCTGGGGGTCTGCTGGGGGAGGGGGAACAAGGGGCTCCTACACCCGAGTCACCTAAGCCCAGCGCCTTCCTTCCTAAGGTGTCCTGCTTCCGATTCACCCCCATTGCTTCCTTTGCTGGAAGAAGCAGCCTTTTGAAAGACCTTCCCTTCTGCCTTTGCAGCCTGCAGCCGTATCTCCCAATGTCCCCTCACCCCGCAGCATCCTCCAGAAAGGCTGTGCTTTCCTCCATTTGAGACCTTTGCCCTTGCTGTCCCCTCCCCCTGGTATGCTATTCCGCCTGTTCTCTACCTGCCAGATGCTTCTCCTCACACTTGCGACCCCTTCACAGGGAAGACTTCCCAGGACACCCACCTGAGCTCCCCAGCAGTATTTGCCCCCTGGCTTGGGGTTGCCATAGCAACAGAAAGACACAGTGCTCTAGACGCAGGTGCCTAACTGTCAAGGTGACACCTCCACATGAGTGTCACAAAATAGAACCTCCCACTGCCCCTCCTGAACTCATGCTGCCCTCTTGTCTTCTCATCTCAGGAATGGTGCCCCCCCAACTCAGGGGCTCAGGCCCAAACCTAGGAGGTGCACTGCGGTCCTGATCCCTCACTCATACAGCCTGTCCTTCAGAGATCCTGTCGGCTTGGTGGCAGAATACGTCTCAAACCCAGGTTCTCGTTGCCACCTTTCACCTGCTATCACGGTGCAGGAGGCCACCGTTCCCACCTGCCTGGACCCTGGTGGTTGTCTCCTCCCCAGCCTCTCGGCTTTCGGCTTTGCTCCACTCCACCCAGTGTGGTCAGAGGAAACCTTTTCAAAGACTAAAAAAAAAAAAACCTGCTCCCCTGCTCAAAACCCTCTAGGACACCCCATTCACCTTACGACAAAATTCCTCCTCCTCAAATGTGGCCTCTAAGACCTTGTATGATCTGACCTTCGACCACCTCCTTAACCTCATCCCTACCCACTTCCCTACTCTGCTCCCCTCACTCTTGTCTCCTCCCTATGCTTGAACCAGCAAGCTCGTCCTGGTCCCTAAGCAGACACTTGCCGTTCCCTTCGCCTCAGCCTTCTTCTGCTGGATAGCTGTCTAGCTCACTCCCTCGCTTCATTCAGGGCTCTGCTCAAATATCATCTCCCCAGAGAAGACGCCCATGGCCTGCCTGCCTGAAACACTCTCCCCCAGCACCACCTGTCTACTTGATTTCCCTTCATCGAGTTGTGTCTATCAGACTATTACATCTGATCAGTTCATGTGCTTGCTGCTGAGTGTTTAACCACCCACTCTCGGCCAGGGGGGGGGGGGGCTGTGATGTTCGCACTTGCCAATTTCTGTGGTGTAAATATTCCCAAGGCCCATTTCAAGGCGTCAGCATGATTCCCTGAACGTGGGGTGGGGAAGAGATAGGCAGGGCTGTACTATTTTTTACCTTGTAATATGCTTTATGCCACAATATGATACAGCAGATGTCAATGACCTCAAGAACATAGGAAATAGTAAAATAGAAAGTGATGTTTTGAGTAGCTGTTCCTTTTATTTTTATTATAGTTATTTCATTGTATGTTGTAAGCATTGGCTTCCCGGGAGCTCCGGCACGCCCCTGGGTACAGGCAGCAGGGAGACAGGGACCTCGTCCATGTTGTTCCCTGCCGTTTCCCTGGGGTGGCGGAGACCACAGTAGGTGCTCGGCCTGTATTTGTTGAGCATGTTGTAATGCATCTGTTTGCCTCAGAAAGCACAAACTGTTCGCCTCCATCACCTTGACTTTGTGGGCTGAATCCAACCCACAAATGGGTTTCGTTTGGCTCTTAGAATGTTTTTAACATTTTTTAAAAATTCGCTGCCAAAATTGAAAAGTCAAGAGATTTTTGCATGAAATTCCGCATAAACCTAGATTTGTGGCCTCTCTTGCAAAGTCAGAAGCTCTGGGCACACTGGGCCTGAGTCACTCATGATGACAGAGGTCAGGGCTGAGGGGCAGTCACCCCTTCCGACAGGGTATGAGCTTGCCCCAGTTTGCCACAGTCCACACCCCTCCCTGTAGCCACACGCGGGGCCTCTTCATTCATTTACATAACCCGTGGGCCCTGTAGATATCTGCATTGTCATTGCCATCTCAGTCTCCATTTTAACTCTTGCCATGGTGCCCCTCTCCCTGCAAGGTTCAGACCACCTGGAGCGCAGGCTCTTTGAGTTAGGCCACCCGGGGCCTCTATTCCTTCTCTAGGTCCCTGCACACAGTAGGCCCACAGGCCCTGGAATTTGCTTAAATGTTTGTTGTTGAACAGATCTCAACCCCCCTAACTGGGGCATGCACTGGATCCAAACCCCGACTGGCCGGAATGTGACAAAGAGGTTGACCGAGGCCAGGGTTTAAAAATACCCCAGGGCTGGTCAGCTGCGCACACTTGGAGGTGTTGAAACCAGCGGGTGAAGTCTGGCCAGAGGCCAGCCCCCCGACTTTTCCCTGTGTGAATATTGGCCACCAGCAGTTCCCCGTGGGGGCAAGGAGGCTGGGCTGCAGCCCCTCCCCCACCGCCCTGCTTGGGAAAGGTCAGCACTAAGTTTATAAACAGCATCGGGTGGCAGGACATATTTTCGCATAAAGGGTTACCAGGCAGAGCGTGGACACAGGGCGGCCTCCCCTGGTGTTTCACGCCGTGGTCAACGGGCATCTCGATCTGGGATGTTGCTCCGCTGGTGGTCTTCCTACGGCCTTCAAAGTCGCTGTCCAGTCTGCTGGAGCCACGGTTAAAAATAAGGCTCACAGCACTGTCCCCTGGGGGACAGCCAGCCTGGGGGCTGGCCAGGGGAGGAAGAAGCTCTGCCTGGGCGCCTGCCGAGTGCCGGGCGCTTCAGAGGCATTAGCTCACTGGGCCTGGGGAGGGAGGGGTTGCCACCCCATTTACAGGGTGGGGAGACTGAGGCCAGGGAGTGCTGCCGCTCACCGGGTCAGAGTTTCTTGGGAAATTCATGGCAGCGTGGGCATCAAGTCCATGAGGCCGAAGTGCTAAGAAGTCAGGGGCTCAGCGCTTCACCCTGCTGGGCCCCCGAGGCCCCGCGATCGTGTCTGGGTCTCAGCACCAACGCCCACCGAGCACGTCCCTCTGGCTTCCCAGTGGGAAGTGTCGTGGAGCTGACACTGGGGAGCTGGGGGCGGGGAGGTAGACAAACATTAAGAGGTAAATTAAATATATTGTGTTTCAGATGGCAGTAAGTGCCGTAGAGACAAATATACCCAGAAGGCAGATGGAGAGCCTCAGAGAGGCACTGATCTAAATGCGGGAGCCGGAGGAGACCTTGTCAAGCAAATATTTGAGGACAGACTTGAAAGGCCCGAGGGATTGAGCAATGGGGGTCACTGGAGGAAGAGCGTTCCTGGCAGAGGAAACTCCGAGTGCGAAGGCCCCGAGGCTGGATTCCGCCTGGCCTGTGCGAGGGTGGCAAGGGTGGCGAGGGAGGCCAAGAGGCTGGCAGCCTGGGAGGAAGCGAGCGCGGAGAGGAGGGGGTCGACCCGCAGAGCTTCGCACACCGCTGGGAGGAGCTGGCTGTTCTCTGGCATAGATGGGAGCCATGGAAGGTCCTGAACAGGGGAAGGTAGGGTCTGGTCTGGGTTCTGAAAGAATCCATCTGGCTGTGTGTGGAAAATGGACTGTCGGGAGCGAAGAGGGAAGGGGGACAAGCAGACAGGAAGTGCTGCAGTGGTCCAGGCAAAGGACCATAGTGATGGGGCCCAGGTGGTGGCCATGGAGGTGGGAAGTGGGGAGAACTTTGTGAGCTCACGCTCTGCACTTGTTTTGAAGGGGGAGCTGGCAGGACGCACTGCGGGACCACAAGTGGGTGACTCTGGGTTCCAGGAAGAGCTACCAGAAGGAGGGAGCTTCCACCTCTGGGAGTGTCCCAGGCACAGTGCCGGCTCCCACAGGAGGGCGGCATGGAGCAGCCCTTCCCCGGCCCCCAGGGGGACCCATGCGAAGCCCTTCCCCAATATGGAGGGCCTGGCTTTCTGAAATCCCCTTCCCTGGTTCAGATCAGGGTTTCTCTCCAGGTCCCCCACTTCGTTCTTGGCCCCAATTCCCTGGTAAATTGTACAGACGCCACCAGGTCCTCTCTCGCCAGTGCCTGAAGACCGACAGACACTTCCATGGCCCTCACTGTGGGCCTGGCGGGGGCCTAGCCTTGGCCTGTGTGAGCTCCTCTGACCACCAGACTTCCAAATAAGGGAGCTATTATTACATCTGTTTCATGAGCAATGAGAACACTAAAGCGCAGAGAGGTTAAGTCACTTTTCTGGAGTCACACAGCTAGCAAGTGGCAAAGGCAGGATTCGATCCCAGGCAGTCAAGCCCAGGGCTCATGCTCTTAACTGATGCACTGTCTCAAGAGAAGCTCACCATTGACCGTGAGGGGCCAAACTGGGCTCGAGGGATTGGGGTGGAGGGAGAGACCTCACACAGTAGGGACAGTTGTCATTTTCTGAACACCTTCCCCTTGCTCGGGCTGTACCTTGCTCTCTCCATTCTGCACGTCAATGGAGGGGGTGGATATGACAATGACTGCACCCGTTCTACAGATGAGGAAACTGCGGCTCAGAGAGAAGCGCCCGTGTCTAATGTCACACAGCTAGGCATGAGAACCCAGGATCGTGGGGCTCCGGATGTCATTCCGTCCCTTTCTCCTCACTGCCTGGGCTCGTCACCTGCTTCTTGCCTTGGCGGTGAGTTTGGTGGCCAAGACGAGTGGTCTTCCAATTGGCTGGCACAGGTAAGGAAGCCAGCTGAGGGTGGAAGAGGTAATTTGGGAACGGCTCAGCTCTTTGGGCTTGTGGACTCTGCCTATACAACCCACACTGCTGAGGCCAGCTCTGGGGCAGACGCTGGGGACACTGAGGCAGCCAAGCGTGAGAGAGAGACGGAGGTTCTAGATGCGTCTGATGGCACAGGAAACAGGTGGCATTGTCATTGGACTTGAGGTCGAGAGCAGGTCGGAGTGTGAGGTGCTCCTGACCCTTTGCCTTGGGCAACCTCCCCAAACCCCAGTTTCCACCTCTGCGAAATGGGTCGATAATGCCTGAATCAGAAGGCTGTTGTCACAGCCAAAGCTGAAGGCCAAAGGGGCTCCACCATCTTCAACTGCTCAGTGCCATCTTCTAGGACAGGAAGGACCCAGGACCCAGCATGTCATAGGTGTTCTGGGGACCCAGAGCCTGCAGGACACATGAAAAAAAAAAACAATGCATTTCTTTGGGACAGACTTTCTTCACCTTGAGGTCAATGCCTTCCATCTACGTATGCACAGAACCTCTCAACCACGTGGTGAGGTGAGTACTAAGACTATCTTCACTGACAGTAAGAAATTGACACTCAGAGAGGTTAGGAAACTTCACCAAGGTCACCGAGCTAGGAAGTGGTGAAACAGGGTTTGAACTTGACACCCTCTGCCTCCCTTAGCATTAGTTCCTCAATCACAAGACCAAAATGACGATAGTTTGAATGCGTTGAGCACTTATTCCAGGCCCTTGACATGTACGAGCTCATATTAATCTTGACCTTGGATGTGTGAGGCAGGTGCTGTGCCTTCCCATTTTATGCATGAAGAGAGAGGTTAAGCAAGTTATGCAAGTTCATGGAGCTAGTCAGTTACAAAACGGGGATTCAGACCCAGGTGGTCTGGCTCCAGAGCCCACGGGCTGAAACCACACTGGGGCTTAGCCCTGTGGTTTAGCCATGTGAGGGGCTTAGCCTTGAGTGCAAGGCACAGCACCTGGCACACTGACGGTGCTTCGTAAGTTGTTAAACCTTCGAAAAGCGTAAGGAGAGAGAAGCAAGTCTTTCCTTTTCTGCACCACACTGAGGGCTCGCTTGAGAACCCTCTGTTCCTTTATTTCCTTCTCTTCCTGTTGGTCCCATTCACTAGAGGAGAAGCTGCCACGAACTGTTTTACCCCCATCCCCTCACCCCCCCCATGGAAAAATCCTGTGCCGAGTCCACGGGCCATGGGGCTGCTGCCCACGGGACTGGCTAGTGCAGAGCTTGGCCAGGTGATCGGGTTTCGTGGTCAGCCACCTTCGCCCCTGACCAGAGCTGTCTTTCCAAAACAGAACATTTAGTCACCGCCTGTCCCTGCGCTCAGCTGTCCCTGTGCCCCTGACCTCGCTTCCTGCCCATCCGCCCCGGGTTTTTCCTAGTATCCTTGTCTCTCACTGACATCTCGCGAAGATGACCAGAGCCAAGAAAGGGAGTCAGAGAAAGAGAAACTGAGAGGCGGAGAGAGGGAGAGACAGAGACTCCGAGAGGCTGCCAGACTCCGAGAAAGACGGAGAGAGGCAGGTAATGAGGAGACCGAAAGAGGAGACAGCCAGGCAGAGAGGCACGGAGAGGCAGAGAGAGCCCCGAGGATACTCCCTGCCCTCCAGGGCTCTTCCAAGGGCAGCGTCCACATCCACGGGTCTCCTTCCGGTGGGTCTTGACTTTCTTCCAAGGCTACAGCACCTTCTCCCACCACTCCTTCCACAGCCCAGCAGATGATCAGAGATACCCTACCTGTCCCCACCCCCTACTTCTACACACAGTTCCTCACCTAACTCCTGCTCATCCCCTTCCTCCAGGAAGCCCTCCCTGCTTCCACAGCCCCTCTCCATACCCCAGCTGCATTGGTCTCACTGTACTGTTGATTGTTTATAGATTCGTCACCTCCACTGGAATGTCAGCTCCTTGAGGACAGGGATTGGGTCTGTCTTGCTCACCCCGCCTCCCTGTACCCAGCCCAGTGCCTGACACTGTGCTCAGTACTCATGGGCTGAATGAAGTGATAGACGAGTTGTTCGTATGCCTCCTGAAAGAAGCCTTCCTTGATAGTGCTTATTGCAGACGGTTTCATTGTGTGATTATTTGATTTAGGGTCTGTATCCCCTCTGCTCCCAGGAAGGCAGAGTCTGTGCCTGTTATGTTCACCCTTGCTTTCCCAGTGCCTGGAATAGTTCCTGGAACAGAGTAGGTGCTCAGATATTGGTTGAATGAATGAATAAGCAAATGAGTTCATCGCTAACCATTTGGAGGTTTTGAATCTTATGTTTTCACCTACTTGAACCCAGCTCAAAGGCTCCCCCTTGGAATCAAACCAGAGTCCTTCCCAAAGCCTCTGAGGGGGCATCTCTAGCCAAGCCTCTGCTTTTCCCGCTGTCCCCTCCCACTGGCCCCGGTGTCTCCATTCTCCAGGATGCTCTGTGTGGTAGACATTCTCAGCTGCCCCTCTGCTCCCTGCTGTAAGTCTATTAGCAGCGTTGATTTTTTTTTTTTCTGTAAACAAGACTGCCTGGAAAAGTGGAGCACATTTGTACAAACAACCTCAATGTCACCAGCGGACCTTGGTCACTGCGGGACAGTCTCCAAGGTTCAGCCAGCCAGCTGCCCAAGTCCTTGCCTTGAGACAGGGTTTGAGTTCTAGCTTCAAAAGGTCTGGCTGGCTGAAAGGGAGGGGATGTCTTGGGGGGCCCTGAGTCTGACCTTCACACTCTGGAAGGGAAGGGAGGCAAAAAGGCCGTGGGGATCCTGCGTGAAGGCCGGGCAGACCCCACCAGATGCTGCAGGCTCGTACCAGGCCCCATGTCCCCAGGACACTCCCGTGGCCCCGTCCTCGCTTCTGCAGACCCCTGCCCTCTCCCTAGTCACAGCCCGTACCACGTTCTGCCGCACCTCTGCACTGGCCTTCTTCCTCCTCGGGACTGTGCCCCCAGGATTAAGGCCAAGTCCTTTGTATCTCGGTGTCCCCAGGGCCCAGGCCTGTGGGAAGCGTCAGCACGAGGAATGAACGAAATGGTGATTGAACTCGCACTTCCTGCTTGGGTTCGTATTTACTCCTGTCTCCTGCCAGGACGGGAGCCCAAGCACCTTGTCACCTCCGTCGTTGTTCCCCAGGCCTAACACGGCTTGAAACGTTGGAGGCAGTGTTGAGTACATGCGGAGTAAATGAATGAATGAGTCTTCCTCACCAGCCGTTATGTGTGTCTCTCCCACTGTTCTGGGAGCTCAGTGCAGTCAAGGGCAAGTCTTATTTCAAGTGCCTCTGGGTCCAGGGTAGAGCTTGGCCCAAAGAAATGCTTGGTAGGCGTTTGTTAGATGGATGAATGGATGGTTGGGGGACAGATGGACGGATGGATGGATATGTGGGTGGGTGGATAGCTGGCTGGGCACATCAGAATCCATTTAAGAGCTTACATACCACACAACACACACACACACCACATGCACCCAAGCCTGGTTTCAAAAATTAAAGTAAAAGCCGACATTAAATGAGTGCTTACTGTACACCGGGCGCCACGCTCAGCCCTGGACCCTGTGATGTGGGGCGTTCACTAAAGCCTCCCCAGCCTCATGGCCACCCCCTGAGGCAGTGACTATGGCTACTTTTTTTTTCAGAGGAGACACTGAGGCTCAGAGAGGTAGAGTCACTGACCCGGGGCCACAGAGCCAGGAGGAAGAGCCAAGATCCAGGTCACGATCTGTTTGATTCCAGAACCAAGGACGACCTGCCTGGGCCAGCATTGCCCCAGGTGATCCCCTGAGCAGCTGAGCTGAGACCCCCAGGCCAGAGTGGTGAGGGGTGGGGAGCCCTCTGGCTCTGGGCCCAGCGGGTCAGGCTTCAGTGCTGCCTCACAGAGGGACTGCCTTGCAGCCTTTCCTCATCTCTGATAGCGGGGCAATGGCAGCGCCTGCCCCAGGGGGTGCAGGAAAACGGACTGACCTTCGCAGAATGCTCCCGGGGCATCAGCACTGGGGACTGTCATGCACAGCGAGCTGGTAGCAGTGTGTTGTCACTGGGCTGGTGGGGGGGCGGTGGCTGTCCTGCTCCTGCACGCAGCTCCCCGGGTACAGATGTGCTTCCAACCTCCTGGGTGAGAGCTTGAGACCCGCTGAAGGAGACCCCCTTGGGGGCAATTGGGAGGCCACCGCCTACGATTGCAGAGCAAGGGTGCCGAAGCGACTCTAGAAATACCTTCTGCACAAGCACATGTGTCCGCAGACATGTGACCAGCTGACCACTGCTGCGCAGTTCCTGACAGCCAAAGCGAGGAGACAAGCCCGATCGTGTTAACAACTGAGTGTCTGCAGAGCAGGTTTTTTCAATGTAGAGCAGTTGACTTTTGGGACCAGGTGACTTTTTGGCAAGTATGTGTATTTGGGGGAAGTAAGGTGCTCTGTCCTGCATTACAGAAGGTTTAGCAGCATCCCTGGCCTCCATCCACTGGATGCCAGTAGTACATCCCTTCCCCAGCTGACAACCAAAAGTTTCCCCAGACATTGTAGCCAAATGTCCCCTGGGGGACAAAATCGCCCCCCTCTGAGGACCTCTGGTTTAGAGCTTGCTCTGCGCATGCATTTTACCCGAGCCACCTCCTCCCAGCCCCCCTCGCACCTGGAGGTGGGCGCTGTGCCCTCCGTCCTCCCGCTGTACAGATGCAGGAACAGGGAGCTCAGTGGTTGGTCCGAGGTCACGGAGCTGGCATTTCAGCAAAGCCGAGACTGGAACCTGTGATAAGTCCCTGGTCCCTCTGTGTCTAGTCACTTTCTGTGGGTTGCTGGGATTTCATTCAGTCGTGTTGTCTGAGACTGGAGTTAATTTCATTTTTTTCTTTTCCCATCTGGCTGCCTTGGCACAATTGAGGACAGAACTTGCATGGCATAAATTATACCCAAGCAGATTCTATAATCTGCACAGAGATTCTTTCTTTGGGGAAGTTAAGTTTGCTCAATTATTGACAATTTGGAAAACAATGGAACAAAAAGAAAAAAATGAAATTTTATATTGGACTGCCCACCCAGGCCAACTTTCTAGCAGCTTTGTCCTCTGACAAATTTCTGCTTTGAAATTTTGTTACACAGTTGCGATCACACTTCATATACAATTTCAAATCCTACTTTTCCCAAACTGTACAAGGTCATTTTTCACATTATTATGAAATCCTCTTTGACATTAATTTTAATTGTTGCCTATTGTGGCAGAAACCCCAGTCTCTCCCCAGTTCTGTCATCTCTCCCTCTCCTTTAGTAACAGAAATCCCATACCCATTTGGTTGGGCATGTGTTCACCCAGGAAAAAAACCCCTACATTTCCCAGACTCTCTTGCAGCTAGGTGTGTTCATGTGACAAAATTCTGGCCAAGGGAATAGAAGTAACTTCCAAGTAGTGTCCTCGGTGAGAGGATACCTTCTCTTCTTTCCATCCCCCTTGCTGATTGAAATGCAGATATAATGGCCAGAGTCCGAGAGGCTACCTTGGACTATGGTGGAGCAACAAGAGGAAAGGAACCTGAATCCCTGATGAGTTTATGAAGTCACCCCACTAGCCCTGGACTGCCACCTCCACACTTCTTTTATATAAGAGAGAGACAAACCTCTATTTCACCTAAGCCTCTGTTATTGTTTTTTCAGTCACTCAAAGATGAACCTAATCCTGAGCATTGCACTAATATTTTGCTAGAGGAATTGACTCTAAGATTCTTTTAAGAATTATCACTTAATTTAACCACTCCCTGGTCATTGGACACTTAGGTAGCTTCTGACTCCTCACTACTCTAAATAATTCTGTTGTGAACATCTTTGTGCACTCTTAGTATTTTTTATTATTTCCTCACTACAGAATTCCAGAAGAGGGATTTGGGGGTCAAAGAACATGAATGTTCTTTTGGTACCTGTTACTACCTGTGACCTAATTATTTTCCAAAATGGTTCAGCTGACATATGTCCCCCTCCCCAAAGCAGGGGAAGTGGGGCTCCCTTGTGGGGTCAGGGTAACAATTCTAGCATTCAAAATCATTGCCTCCAGTGGCCAAAAATAACTCACAGATAGTCATTTCCCAATAGTTCTTTAATAGAAGATGAGAAATCATTGCCCATGACTCCGAGGAACCTAGAATGATCTATTGTCAGTCAGGAGGTCTGAGCTGAAGCAATAGACTCTACCCCTCTGGCTAGTTTCCCCAGAGACGAGTTTATTCAAGGTTATTGGGTGGGTCACAGAGTGAGACCCAGGATTTGTGGACGAGCTGCCCCACTGAGCGTGCTTTTTCCCCAAGGGTCCCTCCCGCTGCACTGCCTACGGCCAGAACCACTCCCCTCCACGCCTCTTGTCCTGTGCTTCTTGTCTAATTGATTGTCTCTAGCAGGCATGTCTGACTGGTGAAGGCCAAGTCCCAAGCTTGCACCAAGCTGCAAGGGAGGCTGGGAAAGCAAGTTTTCTGGCATCTTCCTGGGGAAGTATAGTTACTAAGGTAGGAAGTTCCCCGAAGGAGTTACTCAATGTATGGAGCAGCCAGAAAGTAAGGCAAAGCTTAGCTCTACAAGCAGAGACCTGCTGGGCTTGGGGGAGAAAGACAAGAAGGTTTCTGGCCTCACTTTTTTATCTTGCCTTCACTTACGGTGAAAGAACAGCAAGTAGAAATAAAAACGACAAGGACCTCATTCTCAAGTGTGCCACCCTTGCAGTTTACCCAGCTCTGCAAACGCTGGGTTAGAGCTGGGAACCCACGTCCCTCATGCCCTAAACCCTGTTCTCGCCGCACCGTCCACAGCTGGCAAGTCAACCTGGGTGCCCTTGTCTGCGGCAGGTGTGTCTCCGGCCTGTTGACCACATCCTTCAGCAGGGGCCTGTCTGCCTACCACACCGTAGTACTCCCAGCGCCCTAGCGGGAGCCCTAGCACACAGTAGGTGCTCCATAGTTGGATCTCGAAGGAACACATGAATGATGAGAGTCGGTCCTCAGCCTCAGAAGGAGCCTTAGCATCCCGGAACTAACACTGACTCCTGGCCACCTGCGGTACTCCTGGCCCTGTCTTAGGTGCTGAGGATACTGTGGAAGGAAAGCAAACCAGGCTCCTGCTCTCATCGTGGGGGAGATGGACAAGAGATGAGAGAACCCCCAAGTGTCAATGTAACATAACATAACACAATAAATATGATACCAGGTACGGGTAAATGTTTTATGAAGAAATGTAAGTCAGTTGGTTGGAGCGTTGTCCCATAGACCTAAAGGCTGTGGGTTCCACCCCCAGTCAGGATGCATATAGGAAGCAACCAATTGATGTTTCTCTCTCTTTCAAATCAATTTAAAAAATATATCTTTGGGTGAGGATTAAAAATAATATAAAACTAGATAAGTGACATAGGAATGCTAATGTAAAAAAAAAATGCTTGAGGAATTCCTGTCTGAGAAGGTGGCATTTAAGTAGAGACCGAAAGTGTAGGTAAGCCAAGTAGGTGTCCAGGAGAAGTATATTCCAGGTAGAGAAACAAGCAGTGCAAAGGCCCTGAGGTAGGAATGGGCCTGGTGAGTGCTGTTTGCAACACGGCAGCCAGGACGGCAAGGGTTACACCACGATTCCCAACTTCAGCCACTGCACAGAACCCTTAACTGGCGGAAATGGTGCGGCTGGGGAGGTGGTGGGGGTGGGATGAGTTCTTCGCTCTCAAGCTCCTCTGGAAAAAACATGATGTCAGGGACAGACAGTAAATCTTGACTTGTCCCAGAAAACAATGGGCCCGCGAACCCAGGGAAGTGTCGGGCTGAAAGTAAATGGCCGAAGGGCTGGGGCACGGGCAGATCATGTGGAATCTGTTAACAGATCTGGTTTGAAGAAGAATTTCCCAGGCAGGGGCAGACGCTTCTGGCCAGCATCAAAAAGACGTTTATTGTGGTGGCTCCGTGCAGACATGAAAAATGAAGAGTTGCTGCCTAGCTAGACATGTGGAGAGAGGCCGCTGATACGTGCAGCGAAAAAAAAAATAGGTCACAGGATAGTGTGACATATTGTGCAATTCCTGCTGGAAATGCACTCCTTCATTCATTCATTTGGAGAATACTCCCCGCAGGCCTACTGTGTGCGGCCCTGGGCTGGGAGTGTGCCACGTGGGACGACAGGCGGTGACCAGGTCAGCACACAAGCGTCGTCGAGAACGTCAGCCAGCAGTGAGAAGAAAGGATACCCGGTGCTTCAAGAATGCGTACCCACGTGAAGAGGCGGGGACAGGCTGCGAGGCTCTGCTCCACTCTGTTAAAGGGGCCGTGGGTTTCGGGGGCCTCTGCCCTCCTGCCGTTCCCCTTCGTTTGAATCGTCTGCCCTAAATTTTTTTTTTAGAATGTCGTGCTTTATAATTGAGTAAATTAAAAACACAAACAAAACCAACATGAATGGAGGGGTTGGAAATCATGTGTCCAAAGATGATTTAAGGCTGGGAAAGAAAGGCAGGGTCCACAAGACACTGCTCACCGCATGGGCTTCCGGGAAGGGGGCCAGAGGCAGGGGGCACGAGGGGGCCTCACTTCGCCCTGGGCGCCCATTTCGACTGTGCGTGTAATTCAAAAACTGATGATAATAAAATAAGCAAAGGTATTTGTTCAATGAAACTTCAAGTTGGATTTCATTTTAAGAAAATTAAAAAAGCAAGTAACGGTTGGATCACAACGGAAATTATCTGTTAACTGAGCTGAATTCCCACGAAAATTTTTGGGTGGTTCTCTCTGGGTGACCTTGTTTGCTTCTTCTCACTTTTCCATAGCTCCTATATCTAAAATGAGAAGAAGGAAGAAGAACAGAGAGGAGCCTACTGCGCTCTGCACACATTGTGTGCCTTAAGCTTCGCAACAGTCTCCCAAGGCCCGTGTGTTTATGGCCCCCATGCGACAGATGAGGAAACAGAGGCTCAGCAGGTGAAGCCACCGGCCCGCGGTCACACAGCTGGACTCGGCCCAAGTTTGTCTAACCCTAATGTCTGTCTTTAAACCAGGATACTCAGGTGCCTTTTGAAATGTTGTTCAAAAAAATACTGCATGGTGTTGAAAATGGGGGGAGTTTAGTGGGGGGGAGAAAAGCAAACAGACCAAACAAGAAATGTTACATTTTTTTAACCACTTATTCAAGCTCAGATGGGGCCGGAGAGCGCCTGGGCTTGGGGAGAGTTCCTTGGGCGGGGACACTGTTTGTGTTTTGGGTGAGGTGCTCCTTCACTGTTCCTGCCCCCTGCATGGCCCTGCCCTCTGAACAGCAGCGGTGCCCCGCCCCCGTCTGGTGTCGCCTGGACTCCTGTGCCCCCCCACCCCGCAGACCTAAAAGGCAGGTACCTCAATGGCCTCATCTGACAGAGAGATGAGGCCCAAGGTCACACATTGTCTCCAGGTCTTGTCCCTTGTCAGTACTGTCCCCCTCTGGGACCAGGCAGGAGCTGGGGCTTGTGGGATCAGGGCGGCGAGGAGGGAGAGGTGAGTGACCTGCAGCCTTAGGCTCACAGGCCCAGGGGCCACTCTCGAGCCAGCTGAGGCCAGGCCGGGAGAACTGGAGCCCGGAGCTGTGAGCCGCGAGGCTGGGCAGGCGGCCACCACGGTGGAGACTGGGAAGGCGTGCCCTCCCTCCGCCTGCCCAGCAGCTGCCCGTGGCCACCTGCCAGGCCCTGCCTGACGTCAGGGTCTGACCAGGGACATAATGTGCTGGCGTCAGGACAAGGGCTGGCTGCAGAGAGACAGGGCGGCCGGCGGGGCGGTCAGAGGGAGACAGGCGAAGGGGGGAGAGAAGGAGAGAGAAAAACAGAGAGAGAAGGGGCGGGTGAAGAAGAAAGTAAGGAAACTGGAAGGAAACAGAAAAACAAAAAGAGGGAGACAGTGAAAAGGAGAATTGAGGCAGAAATTGGGAGACATGGAGAGAGAAAAAACAAATAAAAAGCTGTTCAGAGAAAACCAGGAAGAGAGAAAACGCCAGAGAGGAGAGATGGAGGAAACATCAGGGGGCGAGATGGAGGGACAGTGGGCAGGGCGGGGGCTACGTGCAAGCCTGGGAGACCCCAGACCTGGGCTAGGATGGGGCTGTGCCCTCCCAGGCCTGGTGACTCAGCCACAGGCCCCCTGATCCTTCACCTGGCCAATGGCAGCCCTCGTCACTCACTTGGGGAGAGGACAGAGCAGAGCACCCCCTCTGTGCTGGGGCTGGTGGGAGTCTCTCTCTGCGAAGCTCTGGCAGAGCCCTCCCTCTCGTAGTAAGTGCTCAGGAAACTGGAGGAGAGCATAGGTGGGGATGGAAAGAGAGAAGGGGTGGGGGTGGGCACTGACTGTGCAAAACGGCCCCGTTCCCCAGCACCCCCCTCCCCGCCCCCTGCAGCAGGCAGCACGAGGCCACCGGCACAGACCTTGGCCTGGCCTTGCCTGTCTCGGGGCCCAACCCCCTGTTTATGGACTCAAGAAGGCCGTGATCCCAGGGCCATCGCGTCACCAAAGCCAAACAAGGCCAGGCCCTGGTCACTGCTGGCCTCCAGCCTCATCGTCCCTTATCCGGCTTAATTATTAAATGGCCCAGCAGGGCCGAGGGGCTGAGCCACAGCTGCCCTCCCGGGTGGGGGCTGTTGTGCCACCATGCCCCCGACTCACGCAGGGGCACACGTTCTGGGGACTCCGAGTAGCACTTGCAAAGCATCCTTTCTTTTGCTCCCACTATTTCCTAGAGTCTTCATCATCCTCATCCTCAGGGTTTCCATTTATTGAGCACTCACTGTGTGCAGAGAGGGTCCTCAATCCTCCCGCAACAGCCCCAAGAGAGCAAGAACTATTATTATTCCGTTTTACAGATGAAGAAACTGAGGGTCAGAGAGCTAGTCACCTGCCTGAGGCCACTTGCTAACAAGTAGCAGAGCCAGAGGTCCAAGCTGCCGCCCTCTTAAGGGAACGGCAGCTCCCACTTCCTGAGCAGCTTCCGAGGGCCAAGCTGGGGACAGGAGCTCGGCCCCCATTGCCTCCTTCAACCCCCAGGATGGTCCTATGAGGCAGCCAAGGGCAATTTTGCCCCCCGGGAGATAGTAGGTTACATCCGGGGATAGCTTGGGTTGTCTCACTGGGGAGATGCTACTGCCTTCCAGTGGGAGGAGAGGCCGGAAGGCCGCCCAGCATCCCACAGTGCACAGGACGGCCGCCCAACAGAGAACGGCTCGGCCCCAAAGGCCCGCAGCCCTGAGGTGAAGCGCTTTGCTGTGAGGGAAGTTGTGGAGAGCCCCATTTTGCAGATGTGAACACCGAGGCCCAGAGAAATGGAGCACCGCTCCCCCAAGTTGCCCACTCCGTGCCCCTGTTCTTCAAGTCCCGCTGCCACTTCTGGCTGCTCCTGTCCTCAGGAGACCCCTGCCTCGATTTGAGGCCCTCCTAAGTCCTTGTGCGCCTGGTGTAAGTGATGCCTTACCACCTTGTTACATCTGAAGACAGTGTTTTAAACATCGACTGAGAAAACAGATGAGGCCAAAAAGTCACTAGGACAGTGAGAATGCCTTTACGTGAATTTGTGTTTTATTTGGAGCAGCACTGAGGGGCATTTGAAACAGGCCACATGTGGAGTCGTTGAGCAAGTATTTCCTGAGCCCCTACTATGTGCCAGGCCCTGTCCTTGGTGCAGGAAATACAGCAAAGACCTGCTGGGTCCTTAGGGGTGACAGCCTTGTGGAGAAAGTGGACAATGAATAAGAAAACAAGTTGATAAGCAAGATCATTTCAGAATGTGCTAAATGTGACCGCATGGAGAGGGAAGGGCCATTACAGAGAGGGCAGTGTCCAAGACAGCCCTTCTGAGGAGGGGGACAGAGGGTGACAAGGACCCAGCCCTGGGGAAGAGGCGGGCTGAGAGGTTCTGGGCAGAGGCAGCAGTGCGTGCAAAGGCCCCGAGGTGGGAGCTTCGGTGCAGGGTCGAGGCACAGCAGGGAGGGCAGCAGCTGGAGTCACAGAGGCGGTGAAGAGAAGGCGGTGAATTGGAGGAATAACAAGCGCGCCGATGTGTAGAGCCGTGTGCGCACCACAAGGGCTTCACCTGTGCTCTGACGAAGAGCAGGGGACGCAGCCGTGGAAGGGTTTTGAGCAGAAGAGGCACGGCTCTGATTTGGGTTCTATTGGGGTCACTTTGGATGCTGTGGTCAGCTGCATAATGCCCCCTGAAGATGTCCACATCTTCACCCCCAAAACCTATGAATGGTACTTCATGGGGCAGAAGGAACTTGGCAGCTGCGACATGAGTCCAGGGTCCAGGGACCTCATCCTGGGTGGTCCGAGTGGGCTCAACATAATCCCACGTGTCCTTGTAAAGGCAGAGGCAGAGGGAGGCTGGATTACAAAGAAAGGGGAAGGCGGAGAGAAGGAAGAGACCGACAGAAACTGAGCCTGGACGGATAGAGGGAGGGGCCCCAAGCCCAGGGGTGCAGGCCACCCCCAGAAGCTGAAAAAGGAGAGGAAGCCTCTTTGCCCCAGAAGCCGTAAGCAGAGCCCAGCCCTGCCAGCCCTTTGACTTAAACCCAGTAAGACGGACCTCTGAGAAGTCAGACTTCTGGCTTCCAGAACCGTAAGAAAATAAATTTATGTTATTTTAAGCTACCAAGCTTGTCGTAATTTGTTACAGCAGACAGAGGAGACTAATGCAGATGCTGGGAAAGACAGACTGTCGGAGACTGAGGCAGGAACGGGGGTGGCTACAGAGAGGCAATGGGTGTGAGAGCACTTTAGGGGCCAGAACGGGCAGCCTTGCTGTTGGGCTGCATTAGGAGGGAGGGTGGAGGAGGTGGCCAGGGTCTCTGGCTCCCTCAGTCAACCCCAGGCGGAGGCCCAGGACACAGCGCGGGCACCACATGTCCCTGCTCTGAGAAAGAACTCAGCTGGACAAGGTCCAGAATAGTTCCAGGGAGATGGGAGAGCAACCCAGCTGAGCTGCCGTAGAACCTCCCATCTGCCACTGGTCCAGTCTCTCCTGATGTCGCTTCCTCCCACGCGCCTCCCGGCCACCCTGTCTCAGAGAGCCCCTCCCACTGTCCACTGTCCCTCCCCCACTGGGCCTTAGTTTGCTTTGTGGGTCTTACTTACCCTTACCCTACGTGCTGCATTTTTCTGTCTCTTCGCTGTCTGTCTCTGCCACTTGATCATCACCCCATGAGAAGGAGGGCTTTGTTCGATTTCTTCACTGTCCACTCTCCAGCATCGAGGAGCAGTCTGGCATGAGAAGTGCTCTGCACATGGGTGTGGGACAAATGAATGCATCCCCATTTCCCAACAAGGATACTAAGGAAAGCTACGGTAAGCGAATGGGCTCACTGAGGGTCACACAGTTGCTAAGTGTAGGGTCAGGATCGGAACCCAGAACTGATTCCAAAGGTTGCGCTAAGTTGCCCACTTCCTCTGAACACCAACCACGCTGCCTGCGCTCCAGAAATGGGCACACGGTGGGGGGAGCACTCTGGCCTTCCTGAGATGTCAGACGTTCTGAACACAGCGCCACGGAGCCTGACCTGCTGGGCGTCTTGCTAGGCAGGGAAACCACAGCTCAGAGAGGCTGAGGTGTTCTCCAAGGGGTACAGCTTGCCAGGGGTGGGGCTGAGATTCTGTCCCCTCTGGACCGGCAGTGGGAGTTCTCTCTCACCTTTACAGCATGTTCTGGGCCCTAAGAAATGAGAAAGAAATTCTTGGTCTAAACGGCAGAGAAGGTGTGGATCACACCACCCATTGTCCTGACTGGAGGAAGTCAGCAAACA